ACTTACCGTCTAATTTCAGATGCTAATATAATAACTTACCGTCTAATTTCAGATGCTAATCTAATAACTTACTGTCTAATTACAGATGCTAATCGAATAACTTACTGTCTAATTTTAGAAGCTAATCTAATAACTTACTGTCTAATTACAGATGCTAATATAATAACTTACTGTCTAATTTCAGATGCTAATCTAATAACTTACTGTCTAATTACAGATGCTAATATAATAACTTACTGTCTAATTACAGATGCTAATATAATAACTTACTAATTACAGATGCTAATATAATAACTTACCGTCTAATTTCAGATGCTAATCTAATAACTTACTGTCTAATTACAGAAGCTAATCTAATAACTTACTGTCTAATTACAGATGCTAATCTAATAACTTACCGTCTAATTTCAGATTCTAATCTATTAACTTACCCTCTAATTTCAGAAGCTAATTCAATAACTTACCGTCTAATTTCAAATGCTAATCTAATAACTTACCCTCTAATTTCAGAAGCTAATTTAATAACTTACCGTCTAATTTCAAATGCTAATCTAATAACTTACCCTCTAATTTCAAATGCTAATTTAATAACTTACCGTCTAATTTCAGATGCTAATTTAATAACTTACCGTCTAATTCAGAAGCTAATTTATAACTTACTGTCTAATTTCAAATGCTAATTTAATAACTTACCCTCTAATTTCAGAAGCTAATTTAATAACTTACCGTCTAATTTCAAATGCTAATTTAATAAAATACCGTCTAATTTCAGAAGCTAATTTAATAACTTACCGTCTAATTTCAAATGCTAATTTAAAAACTTACTATCTAATTTCAGAAGCTAATTTAATAACTTACCGTCTAATTTCAAATGCTAATTTAATATAATACAGTCTAATTTCAGATGCTAATTTAATAACTTACTGTCTAATTTCAGAAGCTAATTTAATAACTTACTGTCTAATTTCAAATGCTAATTTAATAACTTATCGTCTAATTACAGATGATAATTTAATAACTTACCCTCTAATTTCAGAAGCTAATTTAATAACTTACTGTCTAATTTCAAATGCTAATTTAATAACTTACCGTCTAATTACAGATGATAATCTAATAACTTACCGTCTAATTTCAGAAGCTAATTTAATAACTTACCGTCTAATTTCAAATGCTAATTTAATAACTTACTATCTAATTTCAGAAGCTAATTTAATAACTTACTGTCTAATTTCAAATGCTAATTTAATAACCTACCGTCTAATTACAGATGATAATCTAATAACTTGCCATCTAATTTTAGATGCTAATCTAATAACTTACCGTCTAATTTCAGATGCTAATTTAATAACTTACCGTCTAATTTCAGATGCTAATCTAATATTTGATCCTTCAGCAAAAGCCCTGATACTTGCATCAGTGCCACCATAGCAACCAAATTTGCATAAACCAACAAGTGCCCTCACTCGTACACGTTCAGTAACGTTCTTGCTTTTGTACAGTTCTTTTAGTATTGGTACACCCGCTGAAAGTACTCCTAAGCAGTGTTTCTTTTTACTCGCTGTATGAATAATGGCTTCTGTAGAAACAATCTGCCAAAACAAAAAAATAGTATTCAATGTTCATGTTTCAAAAGGAATTCATTAGTTAGTTTCATGTCATCATTTGCAATTATTCTTTTCTGACAAGCTCAATGAATACAATCATGAAGATAAAAAAGGCTTTATTCCAACCATTCAGAAAACGAACATTTCTAATTTGGTTTCCAGTATTTCAGAAATTAAGTTTAATGAAATACAATAAAAGTTTCAATAATGCAATAACTGATAAGCAATTATTTAGATTAAATCCTGGTACAAGATGTCAGGTAGTACCATAATGCAGCTATTTACAGTTTATCAAATTGTGTAATTCATTTTCTATTACATGACAATGAAAACTAATTCTGTCTTTTATTGGTGTTTTTGGTTGCATGTATACCATTCTTTTTTATTGCCAGTTTATGACAACTTAAACTGGATTATGCAATTGTTTTAACATGTGTATTTTCTAATATGTTTATGTATTCCTCTTGTTCATGTACATAATTTCACATTTTCATTTTTACTTTTAATATTACCAACAATCTTTCAGAATTTCATGTCAATATTGGTATTTGTGTTTCATTGAAATTATTTCCCCCCTTTTTAGTGATATTTTTTGATGTTGTATACATCTATGATCGTATCGTTGCTACCTTATAAATGTTATTGTCCAGCTTATTTTCTGTGAATGCTATTGAGCCACTTGATTTTTGAAAAACTCTTAAATAGGTGTATTGTTTCTCAGTCTTAAATTAGTTTTTCACTATATTTAAATTGTTTTTTATTTGTTTTACATTCAGTGCTATCGAATATAATGACTTGTGTCTTTTCTGTATTTAATTGTAGCCCCCTAACTGTTAGTATAAATTTGTTTCCAGTAAGGACAGTTAGAACATGTTTTATAGAATTACTGTCCAGGTACTTTGATGATCTATGAGGTTATATGAGGATACCT